TAATTATTAATTTAATATTAACTAATATTAAAGTACAGTAATACTTACTATTTTAATTTTCAATACAAATTGTTTGGTGATATATAAAAAAACTACATGTCATAACTTCATAAAAATAAATAAACTCATATCTATCCTGAAAATTTTTTTGTAATTTTCGTTTCTAACTAAAGCTTATTTCTTTGTCAATAAAATTTTTGGTAATTAGATCTTGTTGCTAATAATTGACTATAGTTTTTTTATCTAAATTATTTGCTTTTATCCACTAGTTAGAATATTGAAATAGTTTACCAATTCATTTTACTCCAACTTGATCTTTAAATATACAATTATATTTGTAACTAGATACTTGAAAGGTAAAAGTCTCTTGTTCTCAAAAAATAAAATAAAACAAATTTTCTTCACAATGCACTTGAACTTTTTTTTTGCCTTCAGTTGCACAATGTGATTCAAGCTGGAATTGTATAGTATCAATAAACAAACCACGAAAATAACAATAAGAAAAATAAAGAGGAGTGAAAAGAATATGATAATGTAGAACAGTAATGTTTTGATTATAAAATTTTCATTTATAAGCAACTAAGGAAGTTTTATTCATATATAACTTGTTATATAAAAGACATTAAAAAGGTTTGGTAGCCATTAATTATATATAGATTGTGACGTACATATATACGTATATATTATATATCAATATATATGTATAGTATATCCAAATCTGGAATCTATTTATCATATTTTATCACATTTAGATATTACAACTAATGAGTATCATCTGCCTATATGTTGTAAATCTGTGTCAAAACAATTTTTATATAAAAAATTAATTAGATTTAGATTAGGGTTAGAATTAGAGCTAAAGTTAGAGTTAAAATAGAATTAGTATATACCAAAATTTTGCAAGGAATTTTTTTTGTTAGAACACAAAAGGTGGTTTCATAACAAAATTTCAAGATATTACAAAAATTTTAAAAAATTTTATTTTTTATTACACAAAATTAATTTGCACATTACACCTGATCTTCAAATCTAGTTAGAGTTCCGTAGTCTAATAGTCTAGATATCTAACTCTCTACAGACAAGGTTAATGGTTTGATTATAGCTAGTAGTAATTAATTTAGTTAATTATTTTTGTAATCTTTGAGGCTTTTGAATATGGAATCTTGTAGTAGTAAAACTATATAAAATATGGATTTAATCAATAAAGAATTCTTGGAAGAAGTCCCAAACTATAGAGAAGATGGAGCACTATGTGTAGCATAGATCACAAAAGATAATACTACAGAAGGTTGTATATATGAATTTGTGATTGGCAAGGTAGTACTAATAACCCTAAAGTGGTATTGGGATTTTGATTAGAAAGATGGCTGTATATAGTATATTCAAAAGTGATAAGAGAAGCAGTGAATACAGTAAGAGACTGTAGTAAGAAGATAGCTTTACCAAGTAAAAGAACATCTCTGGTATATAGAAACAATGAAAACTAGTTAAAAAAGTTTAAAATATATGACAAGCATTTTGGTAGTATAAAAAAAAATTCAGCTAGTAGATAATAGTTATATAACCAATATGAGAGTTGTATGACAAAGTATAATAGGAGTACTGGGTTTATTAGGTTTTAAACTCCTATATTACTATAAGTGATAATAGTATTATAAACAAGATAGTAGCCTAAATTGGTAATATAGAATATAAATGTCTAGAAGTATATTTAAAAAACTACAATACTGCAAAAAAAGAACCTGGGATATTAAATAACATACTTAAAAGTTATCTTCTAGGAACACCAAACTGGAAATATCAATAGCACCCACCTCTAGAACACCAATTTGAAAGTAATACAAGAAGTGGTTTGAGAGTAATACTACTATATATACAGAAAAGACAAAGATAATTAGTGAAATTTGTATAGTAGTATATATACAGGATATATATAAATAAAATATAGATATTGAAACCTAGCTAGTAAATTGGAAATTTGTAGTTGGACAGTCTGGCTAACAGAGACCCAAAGAAGTTGAATATACAAGATTGGTTATATATAGATGCTATATAAAAATCAGATGAGTTACACTTTGTTAAAAAAAGTAATTAGATTTATAGATAAAACAAAAACATGTAAAATATATAGGGCTATTTAGTAGAAAGGGGGAAAATCTACTTTTTGGCTAAAAAATTTTTATTGGCTTATTAAATAAAGTATAGTTAGATATATAATTTTAATAAAAATTTAAATTATACTAGTTTAATAATTTTTTAATTTTTATATATAATTATTACTATTTAGTATTGTATATAGTACTCAGTGTGACATGATTTTTTACATAGTGAAAAATTAGAAATCATGTGCATTACACAATTGTTTATATCACATGGCATATATAAATAATACTTTAAAAAATTGATTTACATTATTTGTTACAGACAATTGTTATGATTTACAAAAACATAATTTTCTCAAAATTTTTGATCAAATCTAAATAGAGATTAGCCCCCTTTCTACTGAATAGACCCTATATATGTCCTATTTATAATAATAATATGAATGATATAGCCATCTTTAAAATATATATATATATATATACTATATTCAGTAGAATTAATTGATTTGTAATTATAGGTTATTGTAATTGCAATTAAAATCAAATATAATATAATTATTAAAACAATTTTTTTTTATAAAAATAAAACTTTGCAATTAGATTAGAGTTAGAATGAGGCTAAAAATAGAAAAGAGTATAGTTTATATCAAAATTTAGCAAGAAATTTTTTTTTTTAGAATATAAAAGATGGTTTTATAGTCAAAATTTTGAGTTATTAATGATTTTTTTATTTTTGTTTTGATTTTACATTACACCTAATCTTAAAACTTGATTGGCTTTATTGGATGTGGTTACAGTAACCGCGGTTACAAATTTATTACTCCTATTTAGTATATTAAAATTTTTAAAAAATAAATTTAATTAAAAAATTTTTTTAAGATTTTTTTATAAAATTTTTTTTAAATTTATAATTTTTTTAAATTTTTAGGAGTTTTAATAAATGTACTAATAGTAGTACAAAAGGTGTGCTTCTATTCTTTAATAATAAAGCTAAAATTAATATGTTTGTCAAAACATTAATACTATAAATATCTTTTTAATTAAAAATTGTTAATCTTTTTTTTATAAATTTACAATAAATCAAAGCATTGCGTATATACGTATATACAGTATATACATACAGTATTTCTTTATTTTCAAAAATTGAGTTAACTAAATTTTGCCTATGTAAAATAGCTTACAAATTAGGAGATAACATAATAAAACTAAAATATATACTATACGTACTGTATATAAATAAAAATTTACGTAGCCTTTTTAATTTTTTATTTAGTATACGTATACTGTTATACGTACAATATATAAATTACATTTAAATTTATACGATAAACCCTATATGTATATTTATATATATATATGCATATATATATATATATATATATATATATATATATATAAGAATAGGCTAAAAAAATTTATCATCAATACGTATAAATAATTTAAAAATAACAATTAAGTTATTTATTGTAACATTAGTCATACAAATCGTACAACATATATTTATTGACAAATTAAATCTCGGATATCTCGGATTAAGTTTACATTTTTTGTTACCACAAAATTCCATATAAGGCTTCTGGGCCTAAAATCTGACCGGAATACAATATAGAAAAGAAGGTATGTACATAAAGTACGCAATCGGTTTCGTATTATGCGTTTTATAATTATTATTTTAAATAATAAATGAAACGAGTTTTTTAATGAAATTTATCACGTGACGGCTAAAAATGATACGATTAAAAAGTCATTCTATATATAAGTTGAGTGACAAATACAGTTATACAATTCAGATAAAAGAACTCTGTCCTCAGTCAAACTTTTGCCTCTCTCTTTTTTGAAAAAAGTTAAGACAAAAGTCACTTTATAACTCGCAAATTAGCACAACGCATCAACGACAAATTAAAAGATAATAAAAAATGTAAGCACCTTTAATTTTTGTAAAGTGAATATATTAGAGCTTGAAAATATTTATATTCTGCTAAGCTTTTCAGTTTGTAAAATATAAATATAACCAAGGAAATATATACTTGAAAGCATAAAATTGTCATGAAAGAGATGGCTAAAAGCTTAAAAATATATTTTAACCTCTGAAAAGTTATATATTAATAACCCACATGAAAGAATTCGAACAGTAAAAGGGTACTAATACAAACAAAAATTTGATAATAACGTAAATAGGAGTGAAGCTTATGATCCTTATGTACCCAAAGATGGCACCGCTGGCGGACCGCCTAGTAAAACAGCACAAATTCAGAAACAAATTGATGAAACAGTTGGCATTATGCGAGACAATATCAATCGTGTGGCTGAAAGAGGAGAGAGACTAGACGCTTTACAAGATAAGACAGGTTTGTATGTCATATATTGGTTAATAAGACGCTTAATAGAACAATGAATAATAACATTACCGTTATTATTACTACTATTTCCTTTGTAAATAGAAAATTTGTCTGTGTCAGCACAAGGATTTCGTAAGGGTGCCAATCGAGTGCGTAAGCAAATGTGGTGGAAGGATATGAAAATGAGAATTATTATTGCTGTTGTAGTAATCGCCTTGCTGCTAGCTATTATCTGTGAGTATGATTTTATCATTATTATTATTGTTTTCTGCTTGTGGATAGTGTCACATTTGAGACGTATGTGAGCAACTTGACCACTCATTTTTACATTTTCTTTATATAGTGCCAATTGTACTTAACCATAAAAATAATGACAGCAAGCAACAATAATTTTCTCAAGAAAATTATTTCAAGACAATTATGAGGGGATCTATCATGAAAGAATGTTGTATTACTTCTTACTCTCCTTCTAATTTTTTGTGGCATCATTCTTCATGTTGTCAAGGATCTTTTATATGAAACAAGTAAATTTAAAACTGATTATTTTTGTTCCTCTTTATTATTACATATATTAATAATAATTGTGGATACATAAATAACCAGACTTAGTTCCTTTATCTTATTAATAATATCTTTTGAAAGAAAGATTTCTTACATTATTATTATTATTATATATAATATATATTACCGTTTTTTTTTTTGTAACTTTATTTTTAAAAAATAATGTGAGAAATACATATGTACCTCTGTGGATTATAACTAAAAGTTCTCTCATATCGATATCATGTGCAACATGCAGTTTCTTTCACAGTATTTATGCGTTAGTACAATCCGAAACCAGAAACATCAAACCATTTTTGAATTTTATTTAGAGATCTACGTTACACACTAGAATCTAGCAGCTAGTACTGTTAGTAAGCTAGATTATTATCAATATATCTGTATCTATTAAAAAAATAACGATAAGATTTTTTAACATATCGATATCGAATCTTCATTACTATGCCTTTAATAAATATTGCAAGAACTTCCATCAGATTATTCGCAAATAAACCTTTTGTGAACGCGAGAATTTTTCCAAAGAAATATTTTAATGTCTCGGCAACAACTAAATCTGATAAATTATTTATTGTATGTTTTCACTTTTTAAAATTTATTTGAATTGTCACTTTTTAGTAAATTTTTTAGTAAATGGTTTATATTTCTAATCAAGCATCGAGATACGCCCGAAAATAATCCATCTATTCCGTTCGAATTTACAGCAGATAATTTAAAGCGCGCCCAAGAAATCATAAAGCGGTATCCGCCACAGTATAAAAAGGCAGCTGTTATACCATTATTAGATCTCGGTCAGCGACAACTCGGATGGACAAGTCTTTCAGTTATGAACGCTGTTGCCAAGTTATTGGAGATACCACCTATGCGTGTATATGAAGTTGCAACCTTTTACACTATGTTTAATAGGTATTTTTATCGTAACACCAATTTTTTTGGTGATTAATCCAATTAATTAATCATTGATCATTATTGATACTTTACAATTTTAGAGAACCAGTTGGAAAATATTTCCTTCAACTTTGCACAACAACACCATGTCAATTGTGTGGATCAATGAAGATCCTAAAAACAATTGAAGACCATTTAAAAATAAAAGTCGGTGAAACTACACCAGATAAACTTTTTACGCTCGTAGAAGTAGAATGTGCAGGAGCTTGTGTTAATGCACCAGTTTTGGCAATTAATGATGATTATTATGTGAGTCAAATATTTTATAAATTGTGTGATCCATGAATAATTAACAATATTTATTATTAATTATGTAAATATTTTCCAGGAGGACTTAACACCAGAAACTACAATTAAACTTCTTGATTCTTTTAAATCTGGTAAAATTCCTAAACCTGGTCCAATGTCCGGTCGTCATACGTGCGAACCAAAAAGTGGATATACCACCTTGACGAGTGAACCTACAGGTCCGGGTTTTGGAGTTAGAGAAGATTTATAGAATTATTTTATGTAAACGATAAGTCATTTAAGACAGTAGGTTTTGTAAAATGTAAAGTCACATGGTCATATTTTCATATTTGTACTTTAAGTAACAATAATAATGAACATTAAAATTGTATCTACTAGATTATTTGTTAGGTAATTAATTTATAAATAATATTTTTATTAGAGTTTTTTTTTTTATCATGCTTCAAAGAACGGTAACAGTTTTTGAGCACGAAGACAACTCTAATATTTATCTCTATTTAATTATGTATTATTATATTTGTATTTTACTAATACGTCTCTACGATCTGGGCTCCGCCTTCGACAACATCTAATACCTTTACAACCGTCTCAATATTTTTCTTTGCAAACATGTCTATTACAGCTTTTGAGATACTATCAAAATTGTGTGTTGCGAGAGCCAATATTGTAGGTCCAGCACCACTAAGGCATATTCCTAAAAGACCTGGATATGTGGTTGGTTTCACATTAGTAATTATTTCGGAAAGACCAGGAATCTAAAATGTAAATAGTTAGTGATCATGAGAATTGTTAATTTCTATAAAATTAGTAGTAAACTTCTTACCAATTGCTTACGATACGGTTGATGAACTTTATCTTGCATAGCTTGACATATTAAATCCGCATCTGGTGGAGATTGGGATAGTGCCATTATCAAAACTGCTAATCTTTGTAAATTAAAAACCTTACAGTGATCAATTAATTGAAAGTAGACTAATGTTAAATTCAGTTCAGCGTAATTCTGTGAAAAAAAAAAAATCATTACCACATCGTTTTTATTATATTCATTCGGTAATATTTCTCTGGCTTTTGCGGTAGAAACTTCAAATTGTGGAATAATGGTAATAGCTTTAATTTCTTTGACCCAATTTAATTTAATGTAATGTCCTATTCTTTCAGGCACAATTTGCGTTGAAAATTTATTTATCGCATCGTTCTTTTCATCTTTCAATTCTCCTGCGTCGTCTGTATTTAACCCCCTTAAGTACGAAGCTACAAATCCACCCATTAAAGCAGCTGTGACATTGTCAGGGTGATGTTCTATCATTAAACAATAATCAAGCATACGATCCTTCGTTAAACCCAAATGTCCAGAAACATTTCCTAACATAACGCCAGCCACAACTGCAGCACCTGAAGAGCCTAGACCACGACCCATCGGAATTGGGTTATTAACATTAATGGTCATTGGAGCAGTGAAGCCAGATATGTTGTTACATGCGAGGACATAAAGTGCTGTTTTCGTAATTAAGTTTTTTTCAACGGAAAGGGGCACCCCATCTTTGCCTTCGCCAGAATACGCTAAAACTACCTCATCATTATAATTTTTTTTATCAGAGGCTGGTTCAAAAATACTAATATCAAGTGTAAGATATAGTGACAGTGTTACTCCAAGCACATCAAATCCAGGTCCAATGTTCGAGGAGGAACAAGGGACGGTTATCTGTAATTTCCTCGAATATGTCATTAGTGATGAAACGGGATGAAACGGGTGTTTAAAAAATGTAATATATATATTCAGCATTGTAATTGGGTTATCAAAGATGCGATTGATCCCTTATCGTTATCGTTATCGTTATCATTTATCATTTATCATTGTTGTAATAATTATTATATACTTGGGTATTTGCTTGTATCATTTCAATCAGACATAAAGAATGGGTGAGGTATTACGTTATCTTACGTTAATATTCAAGTCGTCGTAACGTTGTTGCTTTTTTTTTCTTGCCTAAATATTATACTTTACAACGCAATGAATTACAATCTTTTCTTGACAAACTGCTTCTAAGGCGTGTTTCACTTATTAAGTTCTTTTTCTAACTACATGGCTTGTTAAAGTTGTCTTGCTCTTATAATAAGATAGATGGTTTAAAAGCGATCACAATAACCGAACAGTATGGTGTCATATTAATAAAATGTAAGTAATTCCAAATTTTATTTTATTTTTTTTGATTCAATACTTTTTCTTGATCATCAAAAATGCTTGATGCTGGCAATATCAACAATCTTTGTAGTAGTTAGTGAACAAATAATATTTTATATAAATTAATAATTAATTATAATTTTGATGTTAGAATTGGTCTAATCTCGTAAAATAATTACCGTAACAGGCACCCGATTTGTCACATCTAAAATTTTATCATATGATTTTCATAAGTTGCACAAATCGACGAAGTTACAGTTTTAAAATTTTTGCCTAATACTTTAGTTGAAGTACATATTGCTTCTTAAAACAAAATTATTCCTGGGGTTTTTACGAATCGAATAGCACTGAGATCATATAAAATAAATCATTCCTTATAAAATACTGTACCCTTGAAAATGAGCATTATTTTATATACTTTCGACGCATTCTTTTTGAGTTTGCAAATTTATTACATAAAAAGTGGATCAATAGGTGTGTTATAAGGAGAGCTTTCGGCAAAATGCATCTTCAAAAGACGGGTGTATTATGAAAATAACGCAGAAAATCAAGAAAACTATTTTATAGTAAGTAAATCACTCTTAATTCAAGGCTGTTTATTTAACTTCGTTTGCAAAAATTTTTTTTTAAATTTTTGTTATAACTTTTATTTGATCTAAAGATAGGGTTGCGATTTCAGCAATTAAGTACAATAATAATACCGGGTGTTCGAAAAGTTTCTATACACAATCTCTGTTTTTTAACGAATATGTGTATAAATAATTATCGTGATTTTTATATATAAGATCACTTAAAAAAAAGGGACTGTGTATAGAAACTTTTTAAATACCCGGTATAATGAATTTAACACTATGTATTCTTTCTTTTGTATCGGTTGTACCAACGATCACAAATTCTTTTTCGAGTCCAATATTCAGTGATATCCGACAGACTTTTAACCAGTTCATTAATAATATCTGCAGGTAAAACACTAGAGTTTTTGTATTCCTCAAGTTTTTTTAGAATCTCTTCTTCGGCATCTGTAGTTGTGTGTATTGCCCATTTTTTTTGAGTTGCGGTATGCCAGTTTCAGATTGCAAGTCTTCGTTAGTCACTTCAATTTCCATGTCATCACATAGCTCTGTTGTTTGTAGAGGATCACTGATTATTTCCATCATCATATTATTAGTTTTTTCTCTTACACGTTTTTTATTTTTCATTACATTCATAGGCGTTATATCTGGTATACCTCGTCCCGTCTTTACTTGTACAGCAGTTTTATGAATATCCTGCTCAACAATATTATTCAATCTATTAATACCTTTTTCATAAGAAGTAAACATCTGTTGATAACCTTTATTTGTTA